TATATATATATACATATATATATATACATATACATATACATATATATATATATATATATGTATATGTATATATATATATATATTTATGCACATGTACATACACACATACATGCATACAAACATACACACAACTTCAAAATTACATAAATTCTCAACCTGTACTGAAAACAGTTTCTGCGTCTCAGCGCCACCAGCTGGTGAGAGGTGGTGACGTCAATTTGAACCCCGCCCACTGGAACCGGTACTGAAAGCATAATGGAAACACAACCTGTACTGTGCCGAGTAGAGTAGAGCCGTGCTGTACCGGTACTACAGGTACTAATGGAAAAGGGGCATAAAATTACTGTCATGGATCTGGTCAGCTGGACTTTCAACGCAATCGATAAAATCTTTTCCACAAAGCGACAGAGTCCTGGAGAGCCCTCATGCCCCGCTGAAACTCACGCGGCAGGATACGTCATGGATCCTTGGGGAGTTTGGAAACTGATGTGTCTTTCTGTATTATCTCAGGAGGACACAGAAGATGTTTATATAATTAGAACCATGATAGCAGGGTTTCTGCTTTTTTGGTATTGGTGGATTCCTGTGTTATTGTCTATCACAGAAGACAGCGGCAGCAGTTTTGGCAATGGCAAAACTGCCAAGTCTGCGAAAAGGTTTGGTTCTTGCTTTGAGTACTCAAAATCAGCTGATTTATGAGCTAAACTGTAAGATGGAAGCAATTTGTGAGAATCACAGTCCACCTGCAGCTTCTGGGACTCGCCAGCATGTTGGAGACCTTGGAGAGGGCTCATAAGCATGGACCAGTGGAATGCCCACAAATCTGGCCATTTTGGATGACAAGTACCAGCAGAACTCAAGGCTGACGAAAAATAACATGTTGCCTGTAAAAACCAACAATTGTGGCTCATCTGAATCCGACTCCCCCGGCTGGCCTTGAAGCAGATCAACTTACCAAATTTCTCCTGCGATATCTGTAAACAAAGAAAAAGCTATATCTACCCCCCCACCCCCACCCCCACCCCCACCCAACCCAAGAACTTCTGTGAAGGCTTATCAGAGCTGTACCGGCTGACACCAACATCTTATCAGGACTATGGATTATCTGGAAGTGCTTCATGGACAAATCTCACCATCTTGCCATCAAATGCATATGTAATGTGTTTATAAACGTGCTTGTTGGAAGAGTTTTTTGACGTCTTAAATCGTGTCCTGACAAGGACAAGGTGTGAAGAGATTTCTTTTTGTAATACCACTATCCTATCCTCATGGCCTTTTCGCCTTTTCTATCTAAAAAGTATTCTGAAAAATAATAAGGGGCCATGCTCTCAAGGAGCAGCAGCAATGTGCAGTCCGCCCATCTTTCGGACGACTGTACAAACATAATCTCATGGTATCCCGGTACAATGATAATAAAGCGTATTCTGATTCTTATTCAGAATTTTATGTGTTTGCTATGTTTCATTGTTAATATAAAATGTTCTAACAGATTTGCAAATGATTGCATTGAGCTTCTACTTTACATGCCCTAACTTTTTCAGAACTGGATGTATTTACCGTGGGCTCTGTGTTTATTTGGCAGTCAGGGCCCCACGGCTTAAAAACCACACAATCACAATAAGAGCACCCAGTTTTATTACTATATTTATATTAACTTGTGTAATTTGTTCTTTTGTTAACGATGCATTCCATTATTTTCAGTAACCTCATTTTTCTTCTAACAGGCACCTCACCTTCAGGTATTTGATCAGTTCTGCTGGTTTTCCATCTGCTGTCGTCCTCATCAGCTGGCAGTGCTGGAAGAATTTATGCAGATGGAGGTCCTGAGGAAAAAACAAAGCAAGAGCATTAGCATCTTATCACAGCACTCTGTTCTGCTGTGGTTTACTATTTATTGTACGTCAGTGTGAAGAACAGAGGAATCACAACCTACCTGAGGATAGATTGTTGATACTAGGTGGCTCCTTACTTTGAACAGCAGCTTGGCATTGTCCACCCACTTGATATCTGGTTGGGACTGTTCAAAATAGACAATGAACAAGAAGAGATAAGAAGAGGGTTGATACAGTAAGACATTGTGATAATTTTCTTTCTGCCACTTCTGTCTTGTGGGATGCCTCAGGGAACAGTTCGTGGGCATGTTTTATTTTCTTTCAGTTGTGTGTTGATTATTTAAGAAACTTGGATAACGGGTGCCTGTATTTGTCAGAACGTGGGGGAACACAGTCAGGAATGAAAAAAATCCAAGTGCCACCAGCCTCTGTCAAAGATATCAGAGTGATAGTGTGGAAACCCTAACGTGTTTTCATGCAGGAGACTTGGATTTAAATAAGATAAGATCCTATGGTAATTCATTTTTACTTGTTTTCTTATGTAATAAACTGTAGATAAGTACTATTAAGAAACCAAAAGTAGAAATTTACAAAGCGTTCACTTTCAGGCAGTATTTAGTCTGAACATCCATTCCAGACATCTGGTGAGAAAAGAAAACAATGCATTTATACCACTTGGAATAAATACTTGGCTTTCTTTCTCATCTCCACAGCTGAATGCCGTCTCTCTGACTACCAACAGACTGGACCAGAGTTGAACTGAACCAACCCAAAATACAGCACATGATACGACCAAGACAAAGATCACAAACATCAGAACAGGTTTCTGATTGGATAAATCAGACTAAGCTTCTGGGAATGCCTTCCTAAAGCCCCAACTTCAATCCTGTTGAAAAGCTGGGTCTGTGCCAAGATATCACCCAATTTAAATCAACTCTACCCATTCTGCCAAGAAGAGTGGACAAATATCCAGAGACAGGCACCAGGTGCAACTTGCTAATAGACATGTAACCAAACATTAGTGGGTGTGTTTCCATATATTTGAGAATGTTTGCTTAATTTGAACCTCAGTGGATTAGAGATGGCTGTGGCTGAGTGGTTAGAGCAGTTGTCCTCCAATGCAAGAGCTGGGGGTTCAAATCCACCAGCAGTCATATGCTGAATTGTCCCTGGGCAAGACACTGGACCCCTCATTGCCTCCAATGTGTGTCCCATCGGTGTATGAATGTGATAAAACACTGATTAATCTTTGTAGAGATCTAGTAGAGTGCTGTATGAATGGAGAAATGAGGACACAGATTGTGTTGTAAAGAGTTTTGAGTATCTCAGTAAGATAGAAAGGTGCTATATAAGTACAGTCCATTTACCATTAGAGAAAATCCACAATAAATGCAAACTTGTGCACTCAATTATTGTTTGTAAAAAAAAAATCCAAGTTGTATGTTGTAGAACCCTGGAAATAGATCCATCCTCATCAGTCTAATCTACTTCTGACGGCAACTAATTATTTCACTAACTCACTCTCTGGTTCTTTAAAGATACCGTTTGATCAGTTCTTTAGCTGTGAACATACCTTTCTGTTGTCCTGACAGAGATACCCAGCAGGTAGTGCAGCAGCTACAGGCAGCTGCAGCTCTGATGACTGCATCCGTCCATCCTTGAACAAAGGCATCCAGGAGTAACCCACTGAAACAGCAGAATATTAGCAGATAGTAAAGTGATCATAGAATCAAACTTTTAGATAAAATCTTCCTGCCTTACACCAGCCCCACAGTTCAACATGAAAGGTGATGCTGACATTGTTGGTGTAATTCAGTCAATGTGCCTCACCCAGTGACTCCACTCCCTCCCTTTTCTTGCCGCTGGCCTTGCTGCTGGATTCACAGCTGATGTGGTAAAAGCTGAAGAGGATGTGGTGTTTCTCATGCACGTGAACCGGCAGCTCGATCTTAACCTGCGCACAGAGGAACAGCACCATTTCAACAGATCAAGAGCCAAATCATCCAACATGGTTCTGCTGTCAGTTTCAGAGCTTTCACTCACTACCCAGAGTTCATGACCACAGGTGAGGGTAAGAACATTGATCGACTGGTAAACAGAGAGCTTTGCCTTGCAGCTCAGCTCCCTCTTCACCATATCAGACTGGCACAGAGTCCACAATACTGCAGACGCTGCACCAATCCATCTGTCTATCTCACGCTCCATTCTTTCCCTCAGTCGTGAGCAAAACTCCAAGATACTTGAACTCCTCCACTTAAGGCAGAACCTCACCCTCAATCTGAAGAGAGCAATCCACCTTTTTCCAGTTGAGGACCACAACCTAAGATTTGGAGGTGCTGATTCTCATCCCAGCCACTTCACACTTGGCTGAAAACCGCTCCAGTGAGAGCTGAAGATCACAGCACAATGATGCCAACAGGACCACATCATCTGCAGACAGCAGAGATGGAATCCTAGGCCACTGAACCGGACTCCCTACGCCCCCTGGCTGCAAAATCTGTCCACAAGTTATGAATGGAATGGCAGAGTCCAACTCCAACACTGAAAGGATCAGGCTTACTGCCAGCAATGATAACCAAACTCATAACATTGTATAGAGACTGAATGGCCCATAGCAACGGGCTCCTAGCCCGATACTCATGGAGCACCCCCCCACCCCCACCCCCTTCAAGTGCACCTCCAGGAACACACATGAATGCCACTCCTAGTCCAAAATACACATGTAGACTAGTTGGGCAAACTCCCATGACCCCTCAAGGCCAACAAAGAGGGTCTTCAAGGAGGATCAGTTTTCTTCATCTGAAATTTTACAGCTTCCTCGTGGTGGTCACAAACTCCTGTTTCTGTCTGTCTTTATCTTTTTATCCTCTTGTACAGTTTAGGACGCGTCAGTTTTATTTGTACTTTGATGACACTTTGACATGTTTCTTCTTCTACCTCTATGTTTCTGCTTAACAACCATCGAGTTTGTTTTCAGCACAGTAGACTGGAAACTACGCTCTATGTTGACGACCTTCTTGACCTTCATGGTTTTTAACTATCAGTTTTTATACAACAGCTTAACATTTTCCTCATATTGCTGTATACATACACTCAGCCCCACCGTGTGACGGGTGAAAAGTGTTTGACCCAGTAGAGGGCAGCAACAGCAGGAAGATAAATCCTCTGTCATTTTATTTATGTTGATTTATTACAGGAAATGACTCCTGATGCAAAGTGCAGTATTAATACTGACCTGATCCTCAGAAAACACAAGAATGGAAGTCCTGACGTTCTTGTTAATGATAAATGAATCCTGCTTTGAGCCGTTTGTTTTCTGGGAATATTCAGATTAAATGTGTGTTTAATAAGACTAATAAAAGGCTAAACTGGTTTTAGTTTGATTTTTTTGGATCAGCAGCAGAAGAATTGTTGCGGGAAATATTTCTTAAAAATCTGCCGGTAATTTAATTCTCAATACTTTTCACGTGTATTAGTACGAATGCTGACTCAGCATTATGTTTTCTTGTTTAAACTTTCTTCTGTATGTTTTTTGCAAACTACTTCTACATACTTTAACTGTTGTTTAGCTTTTAGTGTTGGGTTTGCTCAATTTAGCTTTATTATTCTGCTGGTGTGTAATTTTTAGCTACAATTAGCTCATTTAAATTTTTTAGCAACTTTTTGCCTCTTTTAGCTGGAGTTTAACTAAAATTTGCCATTGTTTAGCTTTTAGCTATGGGTTTGCTCATTTCAGATTTTAGGTAACATTTTGCCAATTATAGCTTTTAGGGCTACTTTTGCTGATTTAAGTTTTTTGCCTCTTTTCTTGCTAACTCTAGCTAATAGCTACTGTTCTGTTTATTTTAGGTTTGTACTAGAGACCCAGGTGATTTTGGTGAAACTGGTGGTCCTCCTCTTTTTTATAAAGTGAGTTTAAGTTTCTTAATTTGTATACCTTTCACCAAAGTTGATGATGTCACACTAACTTTTTTCTCTTCTTATTAACAAACTTCTCTTAACAAACTCTTCTTATTCCCACAACTTTGGTTTTGGTATACAAACATCAAGATGTAGACACTTTTGTCTTCTTTTATCCAGTCACTGTTAGAAGTTGTAAGTGATGTGAAATGTCTCCAGAATGTAGATAAAGCAAATTCAAACTTTCATAGAATTAAATTATATTTTAGCTCAAAATGTTTTCTTCAAAACTAGAAATGAAGATTTTTTTTTTAATCATATCTACTACATATAACAATGTAGACACATAAAAATTGACATGTAGTGTTTCAGCTACCATTATCCAAGGAGGGCATACTGCCCGGTCAACAGAACCGAGCCCCCTGCCTACCAACAGCCCCCCACCCCGCCACAAATTCCACTAACTGTTGGAGAGTGGAGATTGTTTCCAAGGACCGGCCGTCAAATGACGAGGCCTAGCATTAGTAACGCAGCGCTCTGCTAACCTCGCGCCATGCCCAATGACCTCCCACACCTGCTGCTCAGCGTGAAATGCGCCAGACCTCAATAGTCCTCTTTGAAGGCAACAGGTCCATGTAGAGGTGGGATCCAGTCTCTCTTCAGGCTTGAACAAGCAGAGCCCCAGAACCCGAGGCTCACTAATGAGCTCCTCAACAGGCCTAGCGCCAGAGGGGTGGCCCGATTTCCCATTTCCGGTCAAGGTATCTTGATGTAATTCATGTTTTTCCTCCAAAGACGTTAAATCACCTCCCATAAGCATCAACCTCCCTCACCTCACCTCCCTCCAGCATCAACGTGTGGCATGGAGGCTGCACAGCTGCAGAAAGAAAAGCTTTGCAGAGAGTGGTGAAGGCTGCACAGAAGTCTGTTGGAGTCAGTCTCCCCACCATCACAGACATTTACACTTCCAGAAGCAGGAAGAGAGCCACCTGCACCATGAAGGACCCCACTCACCCAGCACACACACTTTTTGCCCTGCTCCCCTCAGACAGGAGGTTGAGGAGCATTAAGTGTAGAACCACTAGACTGAGGAACAGCTTCTACCCTGAAGTTGTTAGACTCGTGCATCTCTAACCAGAATAATCACTGTGGAAAATCACATCATGTTGCTACTGATCTGTTTCATGTTCGTGCTGCTGTTTGGCGTATTGTTTTTTACTGATTTTTGTTATTAGTGCTTAGCATATTTTTAGCTGATGATTTTCTTAGTTCATATCTTAGATCTTATTACGGTTTTTCTTTTACATTTTATTGTTGGATGTAACTGGGACCCTGTGTACACAATTTTGTTCCACCACATGTACCACATGTGGTGCGTAGGACAAATAAAGAACCTTGACTCTTTGAATAAGGCCAAAGGAAATCCTACTAGGGGGCAGTAAACAGCCTCCAGGATCACAGGGGTACTTAAATCCCCATAAAGTAGCAGAATTTTGTCCTCCAGGACACCTCATGTTTTCCACATATATTCCACTGAGAAGACCCAGAGTTTGCTGGAGGGATTATGTATCCTCCCTGGCCTGGGAACACCATGGGACCTCCCAGGAGGAGATGGAAAGAGGGATGTCTGGGTTTCTCTTGTGGACCAGCTGCCTCTGCGACTCAACCACAGATAGGCAGGAGAAGATGGACGGCTTTCTGTCTGTCACTCAGTAACTTAACAGGTGGAGTGATACAGGTGTGTGGTTTCCATGGTGACAATGATAAGTAGCTGGAAACAAATATAGTCTCTTTTATCTCAGTTCTCTTTATATTTCATGCACAGCTCCTCCATCATTGGAGTTTTGAGCAGTAGCTGTCTTGGCGCCCTTTAGCAGCTCTACAGAGCCTCTCTAACAGACGCTGAGGTTAGTCTTGTTTGACAACAGACGTCCCTGTATGTGAGGGGTGCTGATAAGTTCATGCATGCACGCAGGTGAATATAAGCTTAAGATCCCAATCCATACGACACTGTGACCATATGGACCCGTCGGTCCCACCCCCCATGGCTTCATGCGAGATCAGTCCATGGTGAGTTCACAGTCCTGTCCAGAGGCAGATTAATGGGATTATCTCCGCTCTGCTCTGGCTCTTTGGTAATGACCACTAGCCCTGCTCATTTGAAAGGCTCTGTGGGTTTGATGCAGATCTGACCTCTTGGTATTTATCGGACAGGTTTTATTCACAGGAGGTGTATAAAAAGGAGCCTAAAGGAAAGCTGTCTGACCTCATCGTAGAACTCCGGGCTCTGGTTGTGGTGCAGGACAGCTGCGTAGGCGCTGCTGGTGAAGAGCGAGTCTCCCGGCTTGCCGTAAATACACTGAAAGGTAAGAGAGCACCTAGTCAGACGTAAAACAACAGAGCTGTTTGATTTTTGACGAACAGCTGTGAGGAAGTGTATGAAGAGAAATTGGTGCCAAAAGTCAAACGCATACGAAAAACAAGACTGTGTACAGAAAGATTCACAAATCAACAGTTGTTCAAATGGACACGTTTCAGATTGCACATGTAGGAAAATTCTGCTCATACAAACTGTCAAATACACGTAAACAAATCACATGCTGTAAAGAAATCATCAGCTGCCTGTAAATGTGACTTTTGAGACTTTCTTACTGCTCCAGATTCACAAAGGTAATGCTGCGTTCAAGACTGGTGAAGAGCTGGGACATCTGAGCGTCAACAGGCATACTGAGTTTTTGGGAAAAGGCACGTTTCTAACTTGGCATAGCATCATAACTCCTATATTAAAACTCTATTTTGTATATGAAGACACAAATGCTTGCATGAACGCTACTGGATTCCAAAAATTATAAATTTGGACAGTTTGATTAAAATAATCTAAAACAAATAGATTATTCTTCATGTGGAAAATGTATTGGAAAAAATATATTTTCCTGGTAGTTTTAGCCACAAGAAGAATAACCTACACATTGTTGATGTTTATTTCAGCTTTACAGTTCGCAAAAGTACCATTTCTTCTTGTGGAAAAACTACTCGAAAAATGTCATTTCTAGTATTTTTTGTGTATTATTTGAAATAGACTACTCATAATGGTTAGGTTGGTGGCATGGTGGTGCAGTTGGTAGAGCTGTTGCCTCTCAGCGAGAAGGTTGCTAGTTCAAATCCAGGCCGGGGACATTTCTGGGTGGAGTTTGCATGTTCTCTCTGTGCATGAGTGGGTTTTCTCCAGGTACTCCAGTTTCCTCCCACTGACCAAGAATATGCATGTTAGGCTGACTGGTAACTCTAAATTATCTCTAGGTGCGAGTGAGAGAGTGAACCTGAGACGTTTGTCTCGTTTGTCTCTATGTGTCCCTGTGATGGACTGGAGACCTGTCCAGGGTGTCTCCCACCTCTCTCACAGGGACTGCTGGATATGGACCCCAGTGACCCCCGTGACCCGAAAAGGAAGAAGCAGGCAGGGAGGGAGGGATGGATGGATGCACAGATAAATGGATGGATGGATGGGTAGATGCATGCATGGATGCATGGATGCATGGATGGATGGATGGATGGATGCATGGATGGATGGATGGAGGGATGATGGATGGATATATGGCTGGATGGATGCATGAACGCATGGATACATGGATGGATGGATAGATGGATGGATGGATAGATAGATGCATGGATGGATGGATGAATGCATGGATAGATGCATGGATGGATGGATAGATGGATGAATGGGTGGGTGGATGGATGGATGGATGGATGGATGGATGGATAGATGCCTGGATGGATGGATGGATGCATGCATGGATAGATGCATGGATGGATGGATGGATAGATGGATGGATGCATGGATGGATGGATAGATGGATAGATGGATGGATAGATGGATAGATGCATGGATGGATGGATGAATAGATGGATAGATGCATGGATGGATGGATGGATGGATGGATGGATGGATGGATGGATGGATGGATGGATGGATGCATGGATGGATGGATGGATGGATGGATGGATGGATGGATGGATGGATGGATGGATGGATGCATGGATAGATTCATGGATAGATGGATAGATGGATGCATGGATGGATGGATGCATGGATGGATGGAT